AATTGTGATAATAAGGGACCAACACTTGTCGTCATTAAAGTTCGCAATTCAGGGGAGATAATTGGAGGATACAATCCGTTAGAATGGCGTGGTGTTGTTTCTCTAATTGATTACGATAATTTTGGTTATCGATGTGAAACATCAAATAGTTTTATATTTTCACTAACAAATCGTGCAATTCCGATATTAAGTCGAGTCGCTTCTAAAAAGGAAGCGATCATTTGGTGTGGAAACAAAGGACCATGCTTTGGCTTAAAAGATTTACGTATTATTCCATCAAATTCTTATAATAATATTGTTTGCGAGAGTAGAAATTACTCTTACGAGAAGAAAATTATTAACAAAGAAATTTTTGAGATAGAAGATTATGAAGTATTTCAAATTATTGATGAGAGATTCTCTCAACATATTAATAGAAAGTTTCGGGGAACTTTCCTATTCTTTATGAGGTGGCTTAGGAAAATGGTTGAACTTATATATAAGATTCCTAGAGTGGCCCTGATAATAATAATAATAACTTCTATCATTGTATTTTTACTTTATTGGTTTAGAGCGAGCCTGATACCGACGACAATATTTATCATTTTCTTTTTTATTTATTTGTTTTATAGAACACAACAGCTTTTTCGAGGTTTCTGGGGTTGATGTATTATCCGCCATGGAAATTTGTTCAGTATCATAGTCTATGTTTATACAGTATATTTCGATTGATTTCTTTGTCTTTTTATATAACCACTGAATTATTTTTCCCTCACGGATTTACCAATGATTTTAAGCATTTATAGGTACATTTGATTCAGCTCTCTAAATTTTGGGCCTGTGATTTTTTCCAATTGTATTAAATAAAAAAAGATATTATTATATTGACTGTATATCTTTATATTTTATAATATGTGAGATAGAAAAATTTAGAGACGGAATCTAGTAAAATAGCAAATCAATGTAAACATATAAATAATAGACTCATGTATAAATATGTGGCCATTCGAACAATCAGCGGCTTCTAAAAAGAATGCAACGCCTATGTATAAATTCTTGATTTTCTTAATTGCATATAATTCTAGTAATTTAAAAATTAAAAATTGAAATTAAATAATTAGATATTGATTTTAAACTTAATTAAAAATATCAAATAAGTTTTCAATCATGATATAAATATTTTTAGAAAACAATAAATTCTATATATAATTAGCTTATAATAATTTTTTTAGATTTTGATTAATTTAAAATTTTTAAGTTTTAATAAGAATAATAATACTATTTTGCAATTAATAATAAAAATTTAATTAAATTATAAAATATATTCAATGTTTAAATTATATTTAACAATAAATTTATTATTGAAATATTTAAAAATAATAAAAATATAATTGTTTTTTCTTTAAAATTTTTTTATAAGAATTAAAAATTAATTTTATTTTAATTTTATAATTTTATAAAATATTGAAAATTTGTTAATAATTTTTTTATTGCAAATAGATATTAAATATATGATCTTTATTAAACAAATTATTTGTTGTTATTCTATTAATAGGTTTTTACATTAAATATAGATAATTATAGTTTGTTGTAATTTTTATAACTGATACCTAGTAGGTATTTACTTGTTGGAAATATTAAATAACTAATATCTATTTATAATAATGATATATTTGCTAAATTAAAGATTTTTTTATTTATAAAGTTTTTATTGTTATTTAGTATAATTAAAATTTTGTTAAATATATTCTTATTTAAGTAATTAGATATTGTATAAGTTAATAACTTTGATTTTTTCTATTTAATATCTGTCAGAAATAATTTAATAACAGTTTTTAAATATTGTTTTCTAATTTTGTAAAAAATTTAAAAAAAATATTTGGAATTTTTCTTATTTTGTATACAATATTAAATAATAATTTAAATTTGTATAAAGTTAAATTAAGTATAATTTTGTTTATTAAATTGAAAGTAAAAATTTTTTTGTACTATTATAAGTTAATTTTTTTTAAAATGCATCAGCAATAATTATCTGGCTGTATATTTATTTCTTATAATGATATTTACATATATCTTTAGACATTATTATCTAGAACTATGTTATAACATATCGGTTGTTAGTTATATCCAATACTTATTAGGCTTACTCCAAATAATAACATTTGCTGTAGCTTGTTCCTAACTATATTAGATATAGAGACTAATCTACTGGACAAAGATAATTCTTTGTTGGATCAGTAGCATGCATTTTCACTAGTAATTTAACAGTTTTATTTCTAACTGAAGAAAATTAAGGAAAAGTTTAAAGGAAACACTAGGAATAATATCTATGGCGAATAAAGCTACATAATTACTGCTTGTTCTATCAGAGATAAATCCTTTTACTACTACCTGCAACTATACTAATCATTTAATTTCTTACCTGTCCAATGATACTCAAGAACATTCAAGGTACTTATAACTGTTGCTTACTACTTAAACACCGACTTACATATTGCAGGGAACAGGACTTATAGCCAGAAGCCTTCTCAGGATAAGTACCACCAAACTAGTTTATTACTGGATTGGAATAAGACTAGGGTAGAGATCTGTGTGAAAGACGTCAGATATTAGAAGAAGAATCACCAAACCTACTTATCAAAAGCAGACATCTTATACACCTTACAACTTCTAGTGATCATCGTAATACCAACTGGATAATTATCATGTCACAACATCTTTTCTAGAAATCACAATCTCAATGCTCACTGGATCAGTGTGTAAAACAGCTTCTCATAAGAAACAGTACTTTTAACAGATTATGGTGCCATATACCATATTAATTCTATTTAACTACCCTCATGTGAAGTTGAACTGGTATCTTGTAATTTGATCTGTAGAGTGTTAACCACTACAATATAGACCCACAGGTCTTATAAGTTAATTTTTTCTTTTATATATTTTCAATTATTGGCTAGTTAAGTTTGATTCTTTTTAATCTTATAGTATTCCTATTTTGTAAACAATTGAATATATAAGTAAGATTTTTTTTTTAAACACTAGGTGAGCCTTGCCCTTTATATTTTATTAATTTCAAGTTTTTACATATGTTGTTAATACAATCATGTTAAAACTATAATTCGCTTGTATAGAGGACTATATCAGGTTTTTTAGGCCAAATATCGGCTTTGAGCTATTTGATTTATTCCAAAACCTAGATTTTGGAAAAGCAATCAAAGACTAATATGCCAAGGCTCCATTAGTGTTAGTAAATAGTATGTTTGAGAAATTGTTATGCTTTTCATTCCATTTGAATTCAATATACCATTTGGTCATTTTTCTTGTTCATGTTTTTGCTATTGTCTCCCTTTTTTGATTATTTCATAATCTGATTTCCTCTTTGTTTTTCTCTTACTGTAATGTCATTTTTGCCTTCTTCTGTCGTGATGTTGTGTTTCTTTTCCCATTCCATTGCTTTTTCACACCTTTTCTTCCACCACTTTTTGATTACTACTTCTATATGTTTTGTTATTGTCTCACATATCTTCTTTAATTTTGTTCCTACTCGACTCTTGATGTGTTTTGTTGTTTCTTTTGTGAATACATCTTTTGTTATCAGATTTCTTGTGTGTTCTAAGTCTATAAGCTTGAAATTTGCTTGACTTTTCCTTGTGATATTTTCTTTCTTCTTGCTTCTGGTACTCGTTTCTTGTCTAATTGTTTTGTTATATTTCTCAGTGATCTTTTTTTTTCAATGTTTGTGTATAAGATGTTATAGTGTTTTTTCTTTGTTATAGTACAGTCATGTTGCTTTTGTGTAAAGGTTTGGCTTTCTTGTTTCATTCTGTCATATGTCGGCATTTCTTTATTTAGGATTCTATATATAAAGCTTCTGCTGCTATGGTTTTGTCTGTCTGTTTTTCTGCTAGTTATTTTTGATGTTGTTTGGTCTGGAATATTGTATCCTAATCTATTTCTGGTTCTCTTCCATTCGCAATCCAGACTATGTGCCTATTTTGTATTACTCATCTTGCTGATTATTTAGCACTTTGTTGTCTTTTGATCAGGCTGTTGATGTCTGTATCTAATGCAATGTTTTCCTATATCAGGTAATAGTATATATCTTTTGTTTCCGGTTGAACTTAGATTTCTTTTCCTTGATATATACTGATGCCTTCCTTTGCGAGTTTGTCTGCCTCTTCATTCCCTTTTATTCCTGAGTGTGCTTTTACTTTTGACAGCTTTGTTTTCTTTGTTCTTTCCTCGATTGTGCTTTTGATTTGTTTGATCGTAATCCAGTTTGGTATATATGTTATGTGCCTGTTTCTTTTTTTGGTTTCCGTGATGTTTTGGATTGCTGCTTTGCTGTCTGTATAGATTATTATGTTTGCTTTTTTTGGTATTGTGACGATAAGACTGAGGATTGCTATTAGTTCTGTTCTGGTTGATGATGGAAAATTTTTTGTGTTTGCCTTGAACTTGACTTCCTCTCTTGTTTCCTCATTTGTTGCTACCCAACCAATCCCAATTTTACATCTGTGTATTCCAATATTCTCTACTAATCTGTCTGTATATGCCTTGATTTTTCTCCATTCTTTGATTGCATCTTGTATCTTGTTTAGTTCTACTGTTGCTTGTTCACCTGCCTCTATGATTTTCTTTGGTTTGGGCTTTTTATTATGTTCCTTCTGTGTTGTGTTCTGCAGGCCATCGAGGTCGTTGTTTGGGTTGTTGACTTGTTTTTCTCTTGCTTCTATGATGTTATTGCAGATGGTAGATGGTGATGCCTGGATTCTATTGAGTACATCTGCAATTTTACTGTGTAGTTTTGAACTGTGTTGTGTATAGATTACTGGAATATTTACTGTGTTTGTTATGTTAAAAGTTTTTGTGCATGTTTCGTTTTTTGACTCTCTGTAGTTGCAATCTAGGCATTTCTGCAATGGGGAGTCTCCTGCTATTCTAATTATGTGTTGTACTTTTATCTTGCCATTTTCAATTTTGTTGCATTTGTTTCTTTTACTTATATATATTGTTTGGTCTATAAGCGTTGCTATGTAGTTTGCATTCTTGAGATTGTTATTGTTGGTTGCCTTTAGATGCTGTATTGGGTTTGGTTGTATTAAACCTGGAATAGTACATATGTATCTGTTGGTTGATAGGTCTGGTACTGAGTGTCTGCTTTTGATGTCTGTATACCATTTGGGTTGTTTACCCATTGGCTTTTTACCTGCCATTGTTTTGATCTGTCTCCATTCTAACATGTGTATTTAATATCCATTCGTCAATTGTTCTATGAACATAATGTTGTGTTTTTGCAAGTTTCATCTGTTATTTCTGAACCATTCTTGTCCCATTAGATCTTCTATTATATGTAGGTTTCCTTTTGGGAATGTTTTTGGTCCTTTTCCTGACTGTTTGCTTTTATGCTGAAGCCTGCCTCCTTGATTATTTGTAGTGCTTAACTCCATAAGTTGTTAGGTCTTTTGATTATTTCTAC